TATACTTTTGTTCATAATCTTTTTTTACCTTATCCTTGTATATTTATTCAGATTTGTGTTATAATGTGTGAATGAAGCTGTATATTTGTGAGAAGCATAACAGCACGAAAATTTCACACAAAAGTATGTATTAGCGTATCAACTCGTTTCTCCGCGCAGCAGCCTTGTTCGTCAAGGTTCGTGTTTCAGAGTTATAGAGTTGAGAGAGGGTTATAGCCACAAACAAGTAGCCTCCTCGTCTGTAGTGGCCTTCTCGGCCTTGAGGAGGTGAATTAAAATAAAATTAAAAAAAAAAAAAAAAAATTTTCATAACAAATGTATTCTCGGTTGGAATATACTGAACAATTCTACTGGATAAGTTTAGGCTTAACACAATCTCGTTAGGTTTTTTGTTTCTATTTAGTTTGTTGTGATTTGCACTATACAGTCTTCACTAACGTTCCTTTGGTCGTTTTGTCAACAATATTGTTTTTAACATTACATTTTTTAGTGGTTATAAGCTGTTAGTAAAAAGTTACATTTATTGTCTCCTTATTTCCTCATTATTCTCTGCCTACTGCTTTAATGTTGTATATTTTTTTATCTCTGGCTAATCGTTGTTTAATTACTCTGAGTCTGTTTTGTGTGATAGCTATTGTTTCTACTTATCAAGCAAAATTTATATAAAAGCGTACTATTGGAGTTACCACATTTTTTATCATGTTTTTGTTTAACTACTTTCGTACTAACCACAAAACATTTTCACTTAGTATCAATGTTTATGATTGGTATTTTTTTATTATATTTATAAAACATATTTCAGCCATAAAAGAAATGGTAAGTTACTCAATTATTAATTACTATTTACTATTCGCTTTATGTTATTTCTACACATTAAAATTGTTTATTTTAATACAAGCGCATTCATGCATGTGTACAAGTTTGTCTCTTCTATAGTAAGTGTACATTATATTTATATGTGCAGGCAGTCAGATCTGTTGCAAGGACACGCCCCTGACGAGTGGCATTAGTGCAGGTCTCGGGTTCTCCGAAATGCCATTGGTGATCGCAGTGCATTCCTGAGGAGGGGGATCACAATTTATCCACTACTTAATTCTAATTGGTTATTATGGCACCAACATTTTTTTAATTCTTACACCCATGAAGTTTTGTGTTTTGTGAGCTTTTTATTATGAATTTGTTACATTAATGACATTTATATATTTTTATGTTACACAGGTGATTATCAGTTCTCAATTTATTATCTAGAGTTCAGAACATATATAGTACCACATTAATTAGACATTATTTTTTTTAATATTGATCTACCTGTCATTTATTATCATTTTGTTACTTACTATTTTGTTATCTACTTATTTTATTATTTTTCTATGGTGCGATTATTTTAGTAATAGATACCATTAATAAACCAGCGGATTTATATTGACTTGTTTACTCATACATCATTGTTTTATCATTTGCTTAAGATGACTAGAGTGTGAGTTATGGTTCCTCTCTTTCCGAGTCGCTAACTTTTACTCCTCCTACTAAATAGTCTTTACATTAATTTGCATTTTTTTTACCTAAATGACATCATCTACAATCTGTTTTTATTTTCACATCTCCCAGGTAACTAGTAACTGGACGGCTCTGTTGGTCACTTTTTGCGATCTTTGAGTCGCAAAAAACAACTTATAACTCTCTACAAATCTTCTTTAAACAAAACTTATCTTATTATTACTAAATAAATCTTATCTATTTTTAATTTAAATGACTTCAGATTTCATTCAGAAAAAACATGATTGCATTATTAATAATGATGCAATCATATTTTTTCTTGTAAAACACATTTCTGTTTTCTTTTCCAGTAAAGATTGGAAAAGAAAACAGAAATGTGTTTTAAGAAAATTTGGTTTTTTTTTCCAGTAAGGATTGGAAGAGATTTAGCAGCTAATGCTGCTAAATCTCTTCCAATCCTTACTGGTTATTTCTAATAATGATAAAATATAAATATATTGATATAACCAAAAAGGTTTGAGAAAGGTCTGCCCTTCCCCCACCTTTCTTTTTCAGAGATTGACTGAGGTTGGCCTTCCTCCCCCCCCCCCCCTCCTTTTTTTATAGATATTTAATCAAAATACACTGCTGATTATTTTGTTTCTATAAATTATTCAAGCACACATAAAAAAAATCAGAGTTCTATTTTCATCAGAAGACTGCCAGAAAAACCTGGATTTCATTGATTGATTGGTTGCAATGGTAAAAAGTGTAAACAATTGTTACAGGTCTGGCGCAAAGCATGAAAATGAACCTACAATAATAGTTTTTGAAATATGTCTTTTAAATAACATAAAAATATATTTGTTAAAATAGTACCCAGTTTTATTTTTTCCCTGGTATATTATAAAATTTTATGAGGCCAGTGTAAGGTAAAAAAATAATTAAATAAAAAAAACAACAGTTTTTCATTTTTTTATTATAGTTTGCAAAAAATTTCCGTGACCTAGCTTTTAAACACCCCTGATATATATATATATATATATATATATATATATATATATATATATATATATATATATATATATATATATATATATATATATATATATATATATATATATATATATATATATATATGTGTATATATATATATATGTATATGTATGTATATATATATATATATATATATATATATATATATATATATATATATATATATATATATATATATATATATATATATATATATATGTATATATATGTATATATATATATGTATACACACACACACACACACACACACACACACACATATATACAGTACCTACTCAAATTATTAGACTCAAAAGAGAGATGTCCAGATTTTGTTAGTTTTTTGGATTTTCTTTGATAGCTAGGGGTTAATGATGTTTAATTTTTGTTGTTTATGTGCAATTTAACTTCCTGTCATTCATTTTTTGTTTTTAGTTAGCAAAAGTTATAAAATATATTTAATTTTGAAAAATATTTTCAACTTTATAAAAGTTATGGTAAGTTTAAATTATGTAAAATTAAAAACTTTAGTTAATTTTGTCTGTCATAACTCAATTTATATTTCTTCTTTAGGGACCTACATTATTTTAGATTGTTTTTACAATTTAAATAATAAAATTTTGGTTGTTTTTAATTTGTTTTTTTTAATTTTGCAGTCAAATAGTAACTTTTCAAATAATAATTAATGTTGGAGTTATTTTAGGATTAATATTGGGTAAATCTTGTGATGTTTCCTCAGTAAATATGGAAAAGTAACTGTCCTTCTGCAAGAAACAAGTTGCATCCAAAGAAATATTAGATAGAGAAAGAAATAAGTCAAAATTATCATGGCTACAGTCAGAGGAACAAATTCTAAACTTAAAATGGGGGTCAAATTAGAAGCGCAGAAAACCAGAGTCCAGTGGCAGAACAAGAGTTACAAGTGCTAGAGATCACAGAAAAATAAAAAAAGTTATTGAACAAAATTGTAAGATACCATCAATAAAACTGAAAATTGTTTTAAAAGACCAAGGAATAAAAAAATTCACTTGAATCTTTAAGAAGAAGAAGTTATGAGTTTGGATATTAGTGTAGAAAGCCACTGAAGAAGCCGTAACTTACGCCTACAATGATTAAAAAATCTCTTGCAGAAGCACTCTTCTTATTCTCAAGATGACTAGAATAAGGTAAATTTCCCATTAGTTTTCTCTTGAAACATAAGCAATTAATATTTTAATATTACAAGTTTTTAGAGGATGTTTTTGCATTAATATCTTATCTTAATTCGTTTTGTTAATATTTGAAATATTTAAAACATCAATATTTATTGCTTTAGTCAGGTTGTATACAGCAATGATTCTACCTCTGAGACTTTGGAAAAAAAAGCCACATTCGTCTGTTGCAGACCAAAAGAACAACAAAGCCAAAAAGTACTGTAAATGCTATAAAGCACCCAGGGTTTATAATGGTTTAGTCATGCATATTGAGCAGGGGTATCAGTCAAAGTCTTTACATTGTACATGAGATGATGAAACAAGATAGTACAAGACTGTCTGACAGACTAGTTTGATTCAACAGATACAAGAGTGGTTTCCTAATGGTAAAAAAAGTTGTTTTCATGCAAAATATTGCTCTTTGCTGTAATGCAAAATCCATAAAGACCTTTCTTGCTAATAAGAGTATTGCACTACTTGATTGGCCTGGCAATTTTCCAAATATGAACCCTATTGTAAATCTGTGGGTTCTTGTAATGCGCAAAGTGATGACTTTGCATTTAACAAGTAAAATGAAACTCACAAAACGATTAATCAAAGTATGGCATCGAGATCCAGATATTAAAGGATTGACCTCAAATTGAATAAATAGTATGCAAATGCATATCAAAGCTCTTTCAAAAAGAGTCAAAAGGAACCATCACCAAGTTTTAAGTTTCATAATGTGCTTTTTATTTATCAATATATAGATTATATATAAAAAAAATAAGTTGTGATTGCTTTTAGTGAGTTTTACACACACCAAAAAGACAAAAAGTTAAAATTCAGTTTGAGTCTAATAATTTGAGTAGGTACTGTATATATACATATATATATATATATATATATATATATATATATATATATATATATATATATATATATATATATATATATATATATATATATATATATATATGTTCTTTGATTTAAAATCCTAATTTAACTGCGGTAAGGGTAGTATTTTCCCTGTGCACTTATGTGTTCAGTGTATAATGTGTTTGCACACTATATGTTTTTAAAATCTAATTTTAAACTAAACTAATCTCTTGTAAATTAGTAAACTTTCAGAATGCTTATTATTAATTATGATTATTGTGATTTTTTAATTATGATTATTATTTCATATTTTTATTTTCTTACATTATTTTTTTATGAAGGTTTTTTTGTTTTAGAGTTTTGCAGTTTCATTAGAAACACATTATTTACTTTTAATTGGATTTTTATTTTTAAATTGTTTTTTATTATCTCTATTAGATGTTGGTCAAAATTTTATAGAATATCGATCGCCACACCCACCAAGAATAATATTGGATAAGTTAGAGACAGTTGGATACAAAGTAGTTTCTTGTGCAGGATGTGGTCAAACTGTAATATGGACTTTACACAAAGATTGATTTTAAATTTTATTAAACATGATATAGTTTAATTCTTTTAGAATTATGTTTTTATGTATTAAAACAAATTGTTGATTTTTTTCTATTTTTGTAACAAATTTTTTGCTATGCACTTAAAGTCATGTTTTACATTTTTATATATATATATAAACCTTTTGGTAATAGGATTTTATGAATCTTTTTATATTAATTTAATTATATATTGATTTTGAATTTTAAATTGATAAATGGATGAATATTTAAATAATATTAAAAAATATAATATATTTTTTAAAAATAATTTTAAATGATTTCTAAATTTATGATATAATAATTATATAACATATAAATAAAAATATATATGAATAATAAATAATATGTAATATATAAATAATAATTATTAAAAAATGTAATATAAAAGTTTCTAAATAATTTTATATAATTTTTATTGTATTAGATGTATACAGTTTCATTTGAGTGGTAAATTGTATAATTTTTATATTTGTTTTAAAACTGGCTTATATCATATTTTGGTGTAAAATTTAGTTTATCTCTTACATATCAAGAATTTGTTTTTTAGAAGCTAGAAAAATTAAAAGTAGTTTTAAAAAAAAAACATTGTTAGAATGTAAGGACAATGGCTTCTTGTTCTTTTTTCAGGGATACTCAAGTTTCTTTACTACATTACTCTAAGTTTTTACAAGGAAAAAATTATTCAAAAATAAATAAAATAAGATATATTAGTGGTCAATGTTTTCATCACATTTATTTTCAATTTCCTCCATCTCATTTGAGATATCAAAGCAGAAATTTAATATTAGATCGGAAATTCAATCAGAGTAGATTTTTATATACCGGACATGCAAATTTTGTTGAAAATGAAGGGCAATACAAAGAAAAAGACTCAACGAAAAGTGATACAGAAATAAAAAAAATTTCTAGATATCAAAAGTTTAAAAGTATTGTGAAATCATTTGGACTTGGTTGTTCAGCTTTACTTACTGATATTAAATTAGCTTTACAAATTCGTCGCAAACTAGGACTTTACAAGTATCAAGAAAATTTATCTGCTATTTCACGAGATGAGCTTTTACACATGAGGCAAGTAAGTATTTTTTTGAAATAATAAAAAAATGTGTGTTATTTATGTCATTGCAGACCAATAAGTTTCTATTATTAATATTTATAAATAGCCATTTAGTTATAATCAATTATTTTCCAATTATTTTTAAATAATGAACAAAAAAACATCAGCTTAATGAGAATAAAGACTACAAAATAGCTTTTTTTTTTTTTCTTTTTTTTAAAAAGTGTAAATTTTTTGCAATAAAAAAGATATGTAAATATAATAGTTAAAGTTTATATCTATAATATAAAATTTAAAAAGTTTTAAAATTTAGGAACTTTTATATGTGGTGGTGGTGTAGTGGTAAGAGCGCTCGGTTTGTAAGCGAGCGGTTCGGAGTTCGACTCCCACCACGTCCCTGGAAGTATCTCGCTCAACTTAATTTCTCCGCTCAGCGGTCTTGCTTGTCAAGGTTCGTGTTTTGGAGTTAAAGAGTTGAGAGAGGGTTGTACCACAATTTATAACAAAAAAAAAAAAAAAAAAAAGATTAGCCTCCTCGACTGTAGTGCCCCCCTCGGGCCTTAGGGAGTTGAATAATTAAAATGTATATATATATATATATATATATATATATATATATATATATATATATATATATATATATATATATATATATATATATATATATATATTGGATTTTATTTATTGATTAGATAAATTAAGTTAACGCAGGATTGTAAAGGGGGATATCCACGGAGCGAATTAATTTGTGTGATGGAAATTTTTTCCATTGAGTCAAAAATTTAAAATAGTTATAAAACACCAGCGAAACTGTTGGCGCTTTCTGGAAAACATGTTGATTAGAAAAAAGTTGTTTTTGATTCTTAGAAAAAAAGTTATTTTAAAGATATTTCAAATGAAACAAGAAAAAGAAAAGAATAAAAAATGATTTTAGGTAAGGAAAGTTTTTGCTGAACAACTACAGAAAGAAGAGTTTCATTTATTAGTACAAGTTTTACATTTGCATGACCCAGCATTTTTTAAAAGTACTTTCGTATGTCTCCATGTAGCGCCTACCATTGTGAAACAAAGAACTGAATAGAGTGCATAGAATTTTTTAAAGAATAGAGAAACTCTGTTAGTCCAAGTGAGAGGTTGACTGAAACACTTAGATATATATAACAGGAGATACTCAGTGTACTATTGCTGCAAGTCACAAAATTAGCGCTTCTACTAACTTTATGGCAGACATTGGTTAAAAAGACAAAGTGATGGTAGTGTTTTTAATAATTCCAGTCTTGGTTATGCAATTGAAAATAATAAATTAAATGGTCCTGACCCAGAAAATATAGGTAGTTTCGAAAAAATATTACCATAAGTTTTTATTGTTGATGATGCTTTTGGTTTAAAGAAGCATGTGGTAAAACCTTATCCTAATTAAAATATATCTTTTAGATAAAAAAAAAAAATTAATTACAGACTTTTAAGTCCAGATGGGTCATAGAAAATACTTTTGGTATTGCTACAACATGCTTTTGTATATTTTGCAGACCAATTATCACCAATCTCGAAAAAATGGTCTTAATTACACAAGCGGTTGTTACTTTACATAACTTTCTTATAAAGAAAAAATCAGTAAATAATTTTTCTACTGTCCAATAAATTACACTGATGTTAGCAGTCTTGCTGGGTCTAGACCAGGTGATTGGAGGAAAGATAGTTCATGATCTGCTGCACTACAACCACTGTCACAAATAAGTTCTAACAACTACTCGAAAGATGCAAAACAAGTTAGAGACAACATTAAAAAATACTTTCTTAAACTAGAAGGAAAACTGGATTGGCATGGTAAATAAAAACTCCTAAATTTGTTTTAATTGTTAACCCATTTATGTTTCAATAAAAAAGTAAATTAAAATTTCTGTAAATTTTTTAAAATTAAAGTAAAATATTTACTCTTATAATAAAAGTTAGATTATGACTATTTACAAATATATAATATTTTTTATAATTTATTTTTGTAAAATTTTGTATAAAACAGATTAAAAAAAATAAAGCATTATAAAGTGAAAAAGATTGAGACAAAAAAGAACAAGTTGAAGTTAATAAACTAAAAAAATTGTTAAAAAAATTCATTAAAGTAAGCAATGAGTTTCATGGTATTAGCTAACTTTTTAACCTGATATTTTTTAAAAGACAAATTAATGTTACTGATTGATACAATAAAGTTCATTTGCAAGGCTTTTAACAGGTGGCACATGCTTTCAATGATATATTAATTACATAATCTTTATTAATTATATAATTATTTTTCTATGTTATTCTAAAAAGATTACTTTATATAGAAATATTTTAAGGAAAAACTAAAAAGTTTTTATACTTGGTAAAAACTGCACTGGTGAAAATAAAATCTATTGATAATATCAGGGCTGTGGAGTCAGAGTTGCGGAGTTGCAACATTTTTAGGGGAGTCGGAGTCGCTAAACAAAATCGTGACTTCGACTCCAATAGTAAAACGTTTTGGTATTGTACGTGCATGTACAAAACATGCAATTAACCTTATATTCATACTAAACCTCAAAGAACTTTTCATAAATTTGTCTAAAAAAATTTTTTATCTTATTGCATAATATTTTTTAAAGAATTTTGCTTTGGAGTTGTAGTCGGAGTCGGAGTTGTATTCAAAAAATTTAAAAAACGGGGGGTCGGAGTTGTTACTTTTTTATTACAACTCCACACCCCTGGATAATATGCTACAAAAAATTAAGATGTAAATTTCCATTTTTTTTTAAAGTGAAAATAGAAATAATTATAAGCCAAAGAAAATATGATAGCAAAGTATATACATATATATATATATATATATATATATATATATATATATATATATATATATATATATATATATATATATATATATATATACAGTAGCGTGCAAAAGTTTAGAAACACCTACTTTTTTTCAGTTTTTAATGCATAACTTTTTACAAACTTTCTCAAATAATCTGAAGTTTTTACCTAAAGTGCTTTATATTATTTTAATTCAAAATCCATTAAAAAAATTTTTAAAACTCACCGGTCAATTAGTTTTAATTTTTTGAAAAGGCTTACATGCAAAAGTTTAAAAACAGTATAATAACCTGCAATTATATCAGGTTTTTGTAAACAAAAGCATTATAAAAGGTCAACATTTTTTTGAAATTTATTATTTGAATTAACTTGAGATATTTCAAAACCAATAAAGTATAACTAATTGAGAAATTATTTGTGAACTTCTATAATTCAATTATATACTCATATTTTAAAAGCATGGGAAAAGCTCAGGAAGTTTCAGATAAATTAGAGAAATTAATTATAAAAGCTGTGGGGAAAAAAATGACTTACAAAAGGATTTCTGAACTTTACAATGTTTCTAAACCAGGAGTATATCGCATTATGAAAAGGTTTTGACAACACAAAATTATTGAAAGTAAGCCTGGCTCTGGAAGACCTATAGTTACAACTGAAAAGGATGATAGATTATTAGTAAGGTATTGCAAGAATAATCCTCGCATGACTGCTGTCGAACTTAATTCAATTATGCATAAGTTTCATGGCACAAACTGCAGAGTTGATACAATTAAATGTCGATTTCAACAAAATAATCTGTATGGTTGCAGTCCAGTCAAGAAACCTCTTATATCTGCGAGAAATTTAAGAACCAGAATAAAATTTGCACGAGATCATTTCAGTTAGACAGTTAATGATTTGTCAAAAGTCCTTTTCTCAGATGAATCAGAGTTTATGCTATTCAGTAGTGACAGAATTAGATATGTCAGACGTCTAATAGTAGACATATTCAATCCGTAATATCAGTTACCTACTGTTAAATATGGAGGAAGAAATGTTATGATTTGGGGTTGTTTTAGTCTTGACAACCTGGGTCCCATTCATTGCATAGAAGGTATTATGGACCAGAGAGTTTATTTAGACATAGCAGCCGTAGCGCAGTGGTAGCACACTTGCCTCAGAAACGTAAGATCCGTGGTTCAAACCCCACCTCTGGGCAAGTCTTGCGACATCGGTTGGGAAGGAGGCGTGAACTTCCCATTAAATGCTCTTCCGCGGTGCTCTGTGATAAGACCGTAAGGACTTCTTGGGGCACCTTAATCAACTTAAAAAAAAAAAAAAAAAAAAGACGTAATGAAGAACATTATGCTGCCCCATGCAAAGGACAAAATGAATCACAATTGGATCTTTCAACATGATAATAACCCAAAGCATTATGCCAGATCTGTTAAGGAATATTTTAAATCAAAAAAAGTCAATGTTCTTGAATGGCCTTCACAGAGCCCAGATCTCAATTCCATTAAGCATCTTTAGGAGTACATTGACTAGCAATTAGTTGGTAGAAAACAAACCAACAAAGACAATTTATTTGGTTTGATTAAAGAATGTTGGTATAATATTCCTCAGGGTGTTCTTATTAGTTTAATTGATTCGATGCCTCGTCACTGTGATGCTGTTTTAAAGGCAAATGGATATGCCACCAAATACTAACTTTTTTATTGAAACTATTTTATTAAAAAATTGTAAAAATTTTGAAAGTTTTAGCAAATATTTCAGCTTTATTGAAATAAATAATAATCCAAATTCAGCTGTTTCTAAACTTTTACACAGAAGCCTTTTCAAAAAAACAATTAAAACTAATTGACCGGTGAGTTTAAAAAATTTTTTGAAATGGATTTAGAATTGTAATAATATAGAGCACATTTGGTAAAAATTTCAAGCTATTTGAGAAACTTTGTGAAAAGTTATGCGTTAAAAACTGAAAAAAAGTAGGTGTTTCTAAACTTTTGCAGGCTACTGTGTATATATATACATATATATATATATATATATATATATATATATATATATATATATATATATATATATATATATATATATATATATATATATATATATATATATATATATATATATATATATATATATACATATATATATACATATATATATATATATATATATATATATATATATGTATATATATATATATATATATATATATATATATATATATATATATATATACATATTTATATAAATATATATATATATATATACATACATACATACATACATACATACATACATACATACATACATACATACGTACATACATACATACATACATTTACATATACTCTAAATTTCTTCTTGCATTTAATAAAGCAGCTATAAAATCTACATTGTTTACATTTTTATCTTTAAAACACTGCACTAATGTGTCACTGTTGTCAGCCATTGTAAATACGATGTGTTGTTATTCAATGTGCTAAATTTGAAAAATTGCTGAATTTTCATATTTTGAATGTTTTGATTGGTTCTTTCTTCAAGCGAATAACATGAAAATGACACAAAAAAAGTTGAAGTCAGTCCAACTATTTTTCGAATCAAAAAAAATTTGCCAGATGATTAAAAAAAAAGTATATGCGCATGCTCAGAAGTTTTCGCTTCAAAAAATTCGCTTCATGCAAATAAATTTGCTCTCTAGAAATCGGCCTTTAGAAATATCTACTTGTAACTTCACACAAGATAATGTTAATTTAGTAAAAGTGATCGAATGTATAAAGTTTTCTTTTTTTTTTCATTTGCAAAATTGGAAATTTTCAAATTTTTATTTAATTCATTATATAAAAAACCATGAAAGTTCAAAAAAGTGAAATTAATAAAAAAATTAAACAATTTCAAAACTATTAAATTTAGACTTTTCATGGACACTGATTTTGGTAAAATTATAAATTTGGTTCAAAAGAAGTATTGTTGTAAGTAATGATACCATGGGTATTATTACTTACAACAATACTTAATGTTTTAGTATATTTATAATATTATTTCATAAATACTAAATTTATTATATGGTTATATTTTTACGTATATAATTATAATTTATACAGATTAAAATTTCTGCTAATGATAACATTTTTGCTTTAGATTTGTAGTCTTTACTTACTGCTTGATTTTTTTTTGAATAAAAAAAACTAAAACACAACTAGGACAAAAGTATGATATCATGATGTTAGGGGTAGTCCATAAAGTACATATGCTTATAGGGGGGAGGGGGGAGGTCTGCAAAAAGTTTATGAAAGTGTATGGGGGGAGGGGGGAGGGTTCAATTAAAAGTACGTTCTTCGATTTTCTCATTTTACACAATTAACCAGCTTGCCAATAGAAAAGTTAAAATTCTGACTAAAGATCCTAGTTTGCCAACATAAAAAGATGTATTGTATAGGGAGTAGAAAGTAAAGTTTCTCTCTATGCACACACATGCATGAGCGCCCACAGGATTTTTTGATGTTCCAGATAAACCACTTCCACACATTGTCCAAACTTCAAACTTAAGTATGTTTATATCTATGCCATTGAAGAGGCCTTGCAAAAAATTGTTATGGCGGTAGTCTGGGAACAAAAAAATCTTCCAATGCTTGCATCCCCTTCCTTGCCCAAACATCCCCTTCCCTGCCCAAACGGGCACTAATGTAGTAAAATTCTCCGACCCCCTTCCCCAAAAAAATAAATAAATGAGGGACTATACATTTTGCATCAACATAACTTTTGTAATTTGCAATATTTTTCAACAAAATTCTGTCAATAAATTTGAATTTAATTTTAGATCGTTAAGTTAAAAATTTTACTACATAAGTGTCCTAATGTTTGAGCAGGGGGGCTATTTATTGACAGGTCTCTGCCATCCCAATTTTTTACAAGGTCTCTTCATTTGGCATAAATATAAACATATTTAAGTTTGGAGTTTGCACAATGTGTGAAAATGTCCTATCTGAAACATCAAAAAATCCTGCAGGTGCCCATGCCTCCCCTTATATAAAGGCCCTGAGTATACTCAGGGATAGAAGTGGCATGTGTGCATGCATGTGCGAAAAATAGGTTGCCTATTTTTTGAGTCAACAAAAAACAGGTTTAGCAGTACAATGGTTAATAGGTCGGAGACCCCCCCCCCTTCTCCCTCCCCTCAAAAAAACCTGTATCATTAGGGTCTCAAAATCTTCCAAATTTTACCGCTAGGTTTTGCTAAAATAAAATAGCAAAAGGGCATAAAATTTGCTGCTCCCCCACAACACCCCACCCCTTCTAATTCCGGGGTATGGGTAGCATACACTCGGCACTAGGTTTTAAGCTTTGTTTTCAATATTACTCTTCTCGCAGCACTCGCTCTTTATGGACTTACTAAAGGGGAGTGCAAAAAAACGTTTGCCTCAAGTATAGTTTATTTTTATTTGATGCGTCTCATCAAACAAAGAAAGTAAAACAGGATTTTACTGTGAATCGAACTCGGGTCTTTGCTGTCACTGTCCATAACATTATCCAACACTTCGATATTGCAAGATTTAATTTTATTTAAGTTTATATTTGTATATATTTGATGATGTTTTTAAATTGGGATCCTTTGCCGCTAACAAAGGGCTTTTAAATCGTATAAATATTTTATACATTTTTCACCCCCCCCCCCCCTCCTGCCTATTTTTTTTTTTTTTAATATAAAAGTTTATTGAAATAACAAACGGTGGAGGAGGTACCTAGATACTTTTTAAATTATCTAGGGTATCTCCTCCACCTTTTTTTTTTTAAAACTTACTTTTTAAGGGGGTGTCAAATTTCAGAATTTTCGGGGTACGTACTTTATGGACAACCCCTTAGAATTATAGGGTTCTTTTTCCATTTTTTATTGTTGTGAGAATTTAACTTTCGATTTTTAATTATTAAAATTGTTTATATTAATAAAATAAATGTTTTTTATGTTATTTATGTTTTATAATTAATTTTATGTTATTAATTTCATAATTTTTAAAATTGTTTGACCACAAATTGATTGTTAATTTCAACTTTATAAAATAAGGTTGAAGTTGACAATGAAAAAACAAAAACTAACAATTTTTAGAGTTATATAAATAATAGTAAAAAGACTAATATATTAAAATTATACCATTTTGAACACAAAAATAATATTATAATTAAATACAGAAAATTAATTTTTTTTTGCCATGAAAATTTGGAGATATAACCTTAATATTCTTATCTACCAATATGCTATTTTGATCATACCAATTTATATTACTTAATAAATAATAAATAATATAAAAATTGAAGAGAGTATAACAAATTTTGTTAAGTTCTCTTAACAGTGAAAAAGGAGATAGAACCCTATTATTCTAACGTCACAATATGTTTAAGTTAACAAAAATAAGATAAGTTAAAACAGAAAAATGAACAATACTTTAAACAAATATTAATTAATTTATAGTTATGTAAAATTATGTTTTTTTTTTGAAGTTTGTTTAGTAATGAAAAGTTATATGTATAAGCATATACTTTCATATATATTAAATGTTAATGTTTTAGTATATTTATAATATTATTTCATAAATATTAAATTTATTATATAATGATTATATTCTTACGTATATAATTATATTTTTTACAGATTAAAATTTCTGCTAAAAAATAATTTTTAAGAAAGTTTAAAAGTGTACTACCATTTTTATCATTTTTAGACAAGAAAAGATGTTGCTAAGACATTTCCAGTAGCTATGCTTTTTATGGTACCTTTCTTGGGTTATGCGGCACCCATCATTGCGTAAGTGAAATTTACATCAATCTAATTTTGCTTTTATTTTAAAATTTTTTATATAAAATGAAACAATTTAAAAAAAAAATGATAAAATTTTTAAATAAATTAATTAAATTACTAAAACATAAGTTGTAAACATCTATTTAAAGCCTTCCACATCTTAGCTAAAATTATAAGCATACGTGAACCAACTTTATTGATTTTTTGTATATTGAAAGGATCATGTTTTTTTTTTAATTTAAAATTTACATATGATGGGTTTTTTTTTTGGCAAAGTATGCTTTATTAAAGAAAAACATCTAGAGAATCCTATAAAAATATTTACTAATATAGTAATATAAATATGTTAATGTCAAACTGGATAAAAATACCTTTTTTTTCATGATTATTATTATACCATTTTATTACCTCGTGTGTATTATGTCATGGTTTGCGAATGTGGCTTTTCTCACTATATTATTGATGTTTTCAAGATAAATTTTACTTTTTTTATTAATTTTTAAATTTTTTAAATTTTTAAATTAAATTTTTTCTGGTTCCGGCTCGGATGGATTGATCAATCGACACTTGGTAATATTGGCAAAATCTACAGATAAATACAGGTGACCACCCTCTTTGTATTAGGGTTATTTCTAACTACCCTCCTAATATTATTAAATAACCCATACCAACCATGTTATCAAAACATATTATCAATATTTCATATAAAAAAGCTTTTTTTATAATAATGCTTTAGCATCTAATGATTATAAAGAAACTATTATAATCCAAATCGCAATAAGAATTTCAACTTAAGAATTTTCTTAAGAACTTAGTTAAAAAGCACTTTCCAAAATCGCATAAATTTTATAAAATTTTTAACAAAAACAATTTATAAGAAAACTACAACTGTTTTCCAAGTTGTAGTTTTCTTAGAAAAGTCTTACTCTTTAGTAAGTTCGTAAAGACTTTCCTAGCATCAAAAATATCACTGCCCACAATAAAAAATTTTTATCTAGCAACAAAAATAATATCACTGCCCACAATAAAAATTTTTTATCTAGTACTAACATCCCAATCAACCAACCACGCAACTGCTAATAATCTTCACAATGCTCTTTAAAAAGAAAATGTCTCCAAAAAAACATAGTATACAGCTGTAATGTAAAAACTTCACCAGAAGATAGCAGATTCAATTATATTGAACTAGAATACTTCTAAAGACTATTGGTACAAGCACAAAAACTCATTCCAATACAAAAGTTAAGCAAATTCAACAGAGCTTTTCAAATTTATGTGGGAAAATAAAATAAGGAATATACAAACCCTATGATACTATAGAAAATTATTGATAGAGCGAAACCGTTTAAACCCAGAGAAAAATTATGCAACCTTTGGTCAACTGAAAAGTACCACATAATACTGTCAAAATTCAAATTATTAAACAAAAAAAAAATAAGCTGGTATCAAAATGAAGCTATGAAAACAAATTTTTTATAAACAACTTTAAAATCATCAAAACAGACATTACATAGTATTTTTTTGTTATTAAATTTTTGTCATTAGGATTTATTGTAATATCTGATGACCACCTTAGGTATAAAACTTTGTAACATCTGATGACGGCCTTAGGTATGAAACTTTTTTAACATCTGATGACGGCTTAGGTATGAAACTTTGTAACATCTGATGACCGCCTTAGGTATGAAACTTTGTAACATCTGATGACAGCCTTAGGTATGAAACTTTGTAACATCTGATGACAGCCTTAGGTATGAAACTTTGTAATATCTGATGACCGCCTTAGGTATGAAACTTTGTAATATCTGATGACCGCCTTAGGTATGAAACTTTGTAATATCTGATGACTGCCTTAGGTGTGAAACTTTGTAATATCTGATGACCGCCTTAGATATGAAATATCTGATGACCGCCTTAGGTATGAAACTTTGTAATATCTGATGACCGCCTTAGGTATGAAACTTTGTAATATCTGATGACCGCCTTAGGTATGAAACTTTGTAATATCTGATGACCGCCTTAGGTATGAAACTTTGTAACATCTGATGACTGCCTTAGGTATGAAACTTTGTAACATCTGATGACCGCCTTAGGTATGAAACTTTGTAACATCTGATGCCCGCCTTAGGTATGAAACTTTGTAACATTTGATGACCGCCTTAGGTATGAAACTTTGTAACATCTGATGACGGCCTTAGGTATGAAACTTTGTAACATCTGATGACGGCCTTAGGTATGAAACTTTGTAACATCTGATGACCGCCTTAGGTATGAAACTTTGTAACATCTGATGACCGCCTTAGGTATGAAACTTTGTAACATCTGATGACCGCCTTAGGTATGAAACTTTGAAACATCTGATGACCGCCTTAGGTATGAAATATCTGATGACCGCCTTAGGTATGAAACTTCTGATGACCGCCTTAGGTATGAAACTTCTGATGACCGCCTAGGTATGAAACTTTGTATTCATAGGCCAATTTGGTCATTGAAGGTATGAAACTTTTTTGAGTCATGTAACCTGAGTCATGAATTAGGTGTTAATTACTTAATTATCTTATACATGTCTAAAAATCTATAGTACAAGCTATAATAAATAAAAATATATAATTAGGGATCCCGAAATCCTATATACCTGGGATCCCAAAATCCTGGGATCCCTGACAAATTGTTCATTCTGAAATCCTAGAATTATTCTCCAAAATTCCAGCGATTTCAGGATTGTTATAAAAAGTAAAAGTACAAAAAGTATAAGCTTAATTTTTAATTAAAAAATTTGTACATCATAAAATGAAAATATAACCTTTGTAAATAATAGCTGTTTGACTTTGTAGCTATATTCTCTTTGCAATATTTTCTTTTTATTCTCTCTCTCTTTCTGTATTTTATTGAAAATACAGACTAAAAACATTACTGCTTTTCTGCAAAATAAATACGATTAGATATATAAAAATTTTAACACTTGCTAATGGGAAGATTAAAAATTTTTATTATAAGAAATGCCTTAATTTTGAATTTTTTAATTTATTTTAATTCCAATGTGTGCATGGTTATATTTCCATTTACAAGTCCACTCAGTTTAACTACAATTATGTGCGTGATTTACAAAAGTTTTTTTAACATCGGTTTAATTAATGAAGTTATCCAATTGCATGAGGTTTATTAAATAAACTTTAGTTGTTAGTCCAAATACATCCAAATACGTAAAAGTTGAATTTGAAAATTATTTATATTTATATCATTCATATCATTCAAAACCTATGATTAAGTTTATAATTTTTTAATTTTAACTTCAGAAATCGGCCGATTTCTTTCAAAGCAGCTTTTTGCTTATGCATGATTGATTTGTGAAGTTAAAGTTACATTTTTTTTGTATTAACAAGGCACTTCTACATTCAGAATTAAATCGCGAATTCCAAAAAACTGATGTTCGAGGAAAAAAACTAGATGAATAAGAGTTTTTTGGAGCACTTAGGAACAGTAACAGAAAAAGGATAAGACTTAATTGAATGATAAGTAACACAAGAGTGAATTTTAGTAGATGGCACTAGAGACGCTAGCTCTTTAGGGCAGTGCCCATTATAGTATTTGTAGAAAAAAGAAAGAGAAACAACATTACGGCGATGTGATAATGGTTAAAGGTTGGCTGCAACAGCAGGTCCAACTATGTTTACAATGCGTTTTTGCACCTTGACTAAAAGAGAAAGGGCATCATTAGAAGATCTGCCCCAGATATGGCAACAGTATTCCATACAAGGTCAGATTCGTTCAACTAAGATGAACGAAAAGGAATGTAGAAGGATATCTGATTTAGTAGTACATTTTACTCCCGTTAAAGCAACTGTGGTAGCAGTTTGTTGACTCAACTAAACCTTAATTTCCTGACTTTTTTTTTTTTTTTTCTGACACAAAAATAAAATAACAACAATATCAAATTAAAAACTATTGTATGATACTTTGAGTCGCCGAGTTAAAGAGAGGTAAACCCCGTTAAGGAGCTTAGTATATCTTCATGAACAGGTTACTTCATACAAAAGTAACCTGTTCATGAAGAGTTTTTGTACCAAATACAAGTACCTAAAATAAAAAAATTTATGATAAACATGATAAAATGTAATAACTCGGCAGATCTAATAATGACAGCAGGACTGAGTAATGATAGTTTAGTTCAGTTGAAGCAGGTTTTTCAAGCCACAAATATGATAATAATGCGAAAAAATTAGTGAACAATTGCTCGAAGTGATGGAAAAAAGATTGTCAGCAATACGAACACAACCTCTAAGGGTAAAAAAATATCTTTTTTTTTTTAAAAACATCTTTGCTTCCAAGAAGGCTGCAAGCAACCATTAATTAGTGTTGGAAGTTACTAGGAGAGAGAATAAGAAGATTGTAGAGCAAGATAACGATTGACAGACGACTTAGAAGATTGCAAGTTATATGAATCAGGAAAGCAAGACGAAGGAAGCGAATTCCAAAAAACTGATGTTCGAGGAAAAAAACTAGATGAATAAGGGTTTTTTGGAGCACTTAGGAACAGTAACATAAAAAGGATGAGACTTAATTGAATGATAAGTAACACAAGAGTGAATTTTAGTAGATGGCACTAAAGACGCTAGCTCTTTAGGGCAGTGCCCATTATAGTATTTGTAGAAAAAAGAAAGAGAAACAACATTACGGCGATGTGATAATGGTTAAAGGTTGGCTGCAACAGCAGGTCCAACTATGTTTACAATGCGTTTTGGAACCTTGTCTAAAAGAGAAAGGGCATTATTAGAAGATCTGCATCAGATATGGCAACAGTATTCCATACAAGGTCAGATTTGAGATATATAGAGATAAAGAATAGAATCCAGAGTAAGAAAGTATCAAGCTCGATAAAGAGATGCAATTTTAGCAGATGCTAATTTTGCAACGGTTTTAATATTTGGTTTCCAAGAAAGATCAGAAGTAAGAGTTAATCCTAGAAGATGAAAGGTTGATGACTCATCAAAGTACATTATCGTTCA